TGCCCATCACGCGCTGCATTGTTAGGCATCTTAATGAAAAACTACCTGGCACGCAGCAAGCCCCTCAGCCTTCCCAGCCTGTAATTCACCGTGGGAGTGAGTAATGTCTCGGTATCAAACCACCAGTACATTAGCAGATCACACCAGAGCACTGCCAGCAGCATGCAGAAGAATCATTCCCGGAAGAGCCAGGCTTCACTGCTAGCACTTGGACAACTCGCCTGTCACTGCCAGCCCTCAGAGCTAGCACGGGGTAAAGCAAAGGGATCTCTGCGAGCAGGAGGGAAAGACTCACAGGAGCCATTCACAGCAGGTCTGTCACCATCACATCACATCTATGTGAGGCTTGAAAGCTACCCTGATGACTTGCTGAGCCTTTCTTTCAGAAGGAGCTCTTCCTTAATGTCCACTCAGACATATCCTGTTGCTGTTCCAAACGTGATGTCCTCTCCTACCAAGGAGATGAGCTGCATCTTTCTAACCCTACTTCAGAAAGCTGCTGGCTACTGTAGTACTATTGGCCTCCTCTTCACCAAACCCTTCTGCCAAAAACGTCTCACATTTCCAGTCTTGGAGTGAGTCTCACAACCATGTTAACTCTCAGAGACGAGAGCACCAGGCTGGCTGGGCCACGGGTTAAAACAATGCTTTAGCTTGTCTGGCAAGATAAAACAAGGCTCCTGTCCCAGGTGCTTGCCAGATCTCATCTCACCATCCCCAATTTGTAAAGCCTGGATCCCATGAAGTACCAACACTGTTGTAGTCACACAAGCAACAGCTGTATCACTCAGGTACACTGTCCTGCTGCAGGTTCATCTTCAGCCCTCACTTTGAGATAAAAATGCACCCTGCTGACATGTATTTCCTATAGCATGAAAAATGCAACCCCTGCAAACATCTAGGAATTTGCCCTGGCTGAAGCAACCTGCAATGTTGCACATGCCTTAGGCAAATGCCCTCTCCTGCTCCTTGTAGCATTGTAGTGCCTTTTCTCATCTTTAGGTCTGAATTTTGCCTGTGGTTACTAGAAAGAAAGGACATACATATGGGGATGGGTAAAACACAGAATGCTAAGCTGAGCATACCCTCATAGGTAATGGATTGAAAGTATCTTCTAGTTCAAAGAGAACTAAAAATGTGTATCTTTGCTTCTTACATCAAACAAAGCAATACACTGAACTTGTAGTGCTTCCATCACAGTAAAAGCATAGACAGGATTAAATCATTCCTATTAACAGCTACATTCAGCCAAGTGATAACTCTGAAACCTAACGACAACTGTCCAACTGGTACCACTGCACTAGTGATCACATCAGCAGAGCGATCTGCCTGAATGTTTTATCCACTGAAGCTTGTGGAAATCTCTTGAAAAAAAAAAATAAATCAAGAAACAAGATAGCAAGATTTAACTCTGCAACAACATTGAAGTTGGTGCTACTTATTTCTGTGGATCCTTATCCTAGAAATCTGTGAGGGAAGCAGGAGGAAGAGATCATCTGAGAAATCAGATTATCTTCACAGGAAGGTTGGGGAGAGCATCTGGTGAGCAGCACAGGGAAAAATTTCATGCAGTAGCATAACCGTCTAGAGAGAGGGAAAACAAGTGAAGAGGACACAACTGCTCGCCGAATGCCACATGGTACTCAGCGTGTCTCTGGAGTGGAAGGTTTTTTCAAGAAGAAAGGCTTGCAGATCTTCTGAGAGTAATGCTAGCTTACACTAAAAATTCTCCTTTCTTCAGAAAGGTCTTGGCAAGAAAACATTTTATCTGATCTATACCAGGTCCTTCAATAGCTTCAGTGTACTCTCAATAAATGTTTCTATGGGACAGACTGATACCTGAGGCCCAAGTACAGCTCACCTTATTCTTACATGTATATCAGACCCAGTGAACAGACCGCTAAGTCCCCTTCCCAAAAACGCAGAGGACACAAACTCTATTTCTGCTCAGAATAGGATTTTGGCATTTCCTAACTTCCACTCAAAGATCTTCAGGTGTTGCACAAAGCAGAATTCTGCTCCACACCACCACTTTGTGGTAGGTAAGCAGTACTATCCTCATTTAACATGGGAGAGGAGATTCAGCGGGGTTAATTGTCTTTCCTAAGGTCACGGAAAAAGCCCGTGGGCAGGACAAAGCGGAGAACTCAAATTCCCCGATCTCACCAGGTTTTTTGCCTCTATCCTAATCCTGACCTTGCTATCTACAAATGGAGGAAACAAAAGTTTGTTGCCTGGGAGGGATTATTTTTTTAATATGTTAAATAGAGATTTGAGGGACGGGGGAGAGGAGGCAGGAAGGAAGAAGAGGGGGAGCTGCTCTTAAAATAGCAATAAAATACATACAGCAGGTTTTTAATATTCTAGGTAACAGGACATACAGCAGCTACACAGACTTCCCCCCTGTGGAGTTTGTTGTACAGCCCAGCAAAAAGCTCTAAATTTTTATGACCATCATTTGCTCTTCTTTGCAAATCCATCCCACCCTATCTCAGGAAACCCTCCCCATCAATGCCTGATTTGAAATGTACTGCTTCGCTGCATGTAATTTGATTGATCGCGTTTTTAATAAATCATAAGCCACAGAAGCTTCAGTTTTGAAGTCTGTTCGAGTAACAGGGAACTGGTCAAAACAATCCCTATGCCTCTTTACTGTTTTGGTAGCCTAAAACCAGTAGCACACAGACATGTCCTAGGTGCTCTACTAGGTCATCTATCAGCATCGTTAGATGCGAGTTCATCTGTTTTGTCCATTTTCAATTCACATTTTTGCTGGTTTGTGTCTATTGTGACCTAAGAAAATACATGCTTCGGGGTGAGAGACTGGGGACCAAGGTGGCTGGCAAAAGGCTTCCCAGCGTGACCTTGGGCAAACTGCTTGCCCTCCCCATGCCACAGCCACCCCAACAGTAAAATTAGGGAAAAGCTGAACTGCAGCAGAAAAACAGGCACTGGAGTCAGCCTTCTCTGCTAATAAATGAAAGGACCCAGCTTCGAGCATTTAACTTTCCCTCTAGAGTCACATAACACACTGTTAAAAAATGAAATCCAATTAATCATTAAATGCGGCGTGTTTTCTCCCTAAGACAGGAGTGAGAAAGTCGCCTGATGCTAAACCCCACACTAGAAAATAACACGAAAAGATAATGCTGTTATTTATTAACACTCTTGGTTTTCCTTCCCACAAACACCACACTGGCACTAAACACCAGACTCATGCTTGTGCTTTGGAGTTGGAAGCTTCCAATGCACACTATCTTGAGGTGCAAAACCCTAATGCAAAGTTGTGAACAATCAAGAAGTTTTCCTTTATTACTTACGCCATTCCTGTCACCTGGAGTTACAGAGTAAGCGAAGCTAATAAATTAAACAGCGTATTTCTATGAAAGAAACAAATTGTAGTCTTAAGCTGGGGGAGGAGGGACAATTTTGTGAAAGTCATTTTCTGACCTGCACTTTGGAAAAAAAAGACCTTTTTTTCCCCTCTGCAAATGCCTATAGACTGATTTTACTCTACTACTCATAACTATTATTCTGTAATACTCATAACTATTGGAAATTCAGGCTGGGAAGGAACGGGGGGCTTTTAGCTTCTTTTTCTCAACACCCTTTGATACGGCACTGAACTGAAACAAAAGCGAGGGCATATAGGTTGTTTTCTTCATTACATGCCATGTTATATTAAAAATAAATAGTCCTAGAGACAAGTGTAATGCTAAAATATAGCATGCAGCTGTTTTCTCTTCAATGTTTGCTTTCATCTTTAATGAGAGAGGAATTCATGTCTGGCAAACACAACTGCCTTAAAAAAATTGGTTAAATCAAAGTAGCATCTACATCGCTGTCAGCGTTATTGCCTAAGCAATAATAAATAGAGAAAATCTTCCAGTCAGAAAAATATAAGGAGGTGGTTGAATCGCCCGTGATTAAGTTATGGCTGATGCAGAGATAGATAGGTGGATAGATAGACAGATAATTTCCTCGTTAATGACTAATCAATCTCATGAGGAATACAGCTGAAAATCCAGCTGATCTGTGCCGTGCTGTTAATTGCTTTATGCACATTTCCAATAGCGGCAAAACAATAAAAGAGGCATTTTGGAGGCAGTGATGAGCTACAGTAATCAGAATAATGGGAATATTGTCACCAGCCGTGAAGGCTTCCAAGAGTCCTGGTGACTATGCCTGTTCTCCGACTTCACAGCGGAGTGGAAACGGTGTTTCTGATACCGAGTTGGAAGAAAACTGAAGTTGTGTCCCCAGCCATCTGCCGGGTGTTGCAGAGCAGGGTGCGAGGGAGGGCCCTGCGCTATGGGGGCACCACGGCAGGTTTTGGGACACCCCCACAGGCACGCAGAGCACCGCAAACTTTCAGGGACACCTCAGCTCCTCCTCATTATTGACTGCAGGGCAAAGACATGAGCCAGCATCGATTTTTTTTTTTTTTTAAATCAAAAACTTTTCTGCGTGCTCGCCCTACCTGCCTCCTCTCAGAGCCCCTTAACATGCTGGGGAGCTCTCCAGCCCTTAATGAATTGATGGCATCTCTCCTGTCGCCAGCACGCAGAGCTGAGAACCGGAGGGCTGCTCCGCCACCAGTGTACATCACTCACCCCCGGACAGAGGCAGGGGAGCTCACCAAGGTGGATATCACACATGGGGAGTGCAAGGGGGCAGCAGGCAGGTGGGGACGCAGGTGGGGACACAGGGGGCTTCTCTGGGAGAGGGAGAAGGCTCCCGACAGCCTGGCCCTCCTGGTGGAGCTCAGCCCCTGGGGATCGCTGCTCTCCCCTCGGGCAGAGGTGGGGATCTCCCCCTCTTTTTTTTTTTTTTTTCCTAGGGAAAACTTTTCTCTTTTTACCTAGCCTCCGCATCCCCGGCCGTAAAAGCGAGCCGCGCTCAGCACCCCTCTCCCCCCCCAGCATCCCCTACCGCATTTCCGAGCTCAGCACCATCCCTCCCATCCCAGCCCATCCCAACCCATCCCAGGCGGTACTCACGCTGCTGTTGTGGCCGGACCAGTGCACCATGGCTTGGTTGTGCGCCGCGTCCCCGGTGAGGGCGAAGGTGGTGCTGCCCAGCCGCAGCTCCTCTGCCCCTCGCAGCCTCGCCGCTCTCCCCTCCTCCGGGGGTCCGCGGGGCTGAGCCCTGGCTCCGCGTTGCCCCTCGGCTGCGGGCAGCCCCCGGCCGCCTCCCGCAGCCGCCGCCGCCGCCCGCCGGCTCCGCACCGCCGGGCCCCGGCCCCCGGCCGCGCCGCCCGCCCCCGCGCTGCCCCCCGGTTCCCCGGAGCCCCGCGCCCGGTTCCCCGGTGCCGGTGGTTGCCGCTGCTCCAGCCCGAGGCGAGGCCGGGAGGGAGACGAGCAGGGGCCGCAAGTTATCTCGGCGCCGGTGCAGGAGCAGGAGAGGAGTAAGAGCCATGTCCAGGCGAGCAGGGCGGCGTGGCAGGGCGCAGAGCGGCGGGTCCCCTTCTCCATGCCTTGGCGGAGCGAGTCGGGGGGCTCGGAGAGGGAGGAGGGGGGGGGCGAGGCGCTGCGTTTAGGGCTTTTTTTTTTTTTTAGGGGCCGGATCCTAATTATAATAATTATAATTTGGGAAGAAAAAATAAAAAATAATAAAAAATAAGGCTCTTCTTTCTTCGCTCTCCTTTTCTCTTCCCCCTTTGCTCAGACGGTGACCAGAGGAAAAATAAAAAATAAAAATTAAAAAAAAAGGAAAAAAAAAACTCTCTCCCCGGTAGTTGGATGCTGTTCCTCACTGTTGGTGGATCTTTCTTTTTTTTTTTTTTCTTTTTTTTTTTTTTTTTTTGAAAAGTGCTTTTCAGTGAAACTGTTCACGTTCGAGGATTTGATCAAGTGAGCGGGTGGCACCGCGCGGGGGGAGGAGCCCCGAGCCTCGCCAGGCGCCGCCGAGAGCCAGCCCCGAGCCGCCGGGAGGCAGCCGCCGGGGGCCGGCAGCGGAGCCGGGGGCGGGAGCGGGAGCGGGACTCGGAGCCCAGGCAGCGGGGACATCCCCCGGGCTCCCTCCCTCCCTCTCGGGTCTCTTCCCTCCCTCCCGGGTCCCCAGGTCCCTGCTCCCCCCGTGTGCGTTCCCCCCTACGCGTAGGTAGAGCCGCGGGGGCACTCCTCGCCCTCGGTGTATCTGTATTTATGCACACACGCGTGCCTCTCCGTGCAGGGGGGCAGAAGCTGATGGGGTGAAACCCCCCCGGCTGATGTCCCCCCTACCCGGGTACCAGCGGCCCCACAGCCCCGGCCAGCCGGGAACCCGCACGGGAGCATCCCCGGCAGGGAAGGGGGATGGAGGGTTTTTTGGGGTGGCCGAGGAGGGGCACTATGTGCGGGCAGCTCCCTGGAGCATCGTCCCAGGGCTGCGTGGAGATGGGTTTCTTCGGATGATGGCAGCTCCCGCTGCAGGGACGCGGATCTCCCCGGCCAGGACACCCGCTTTTCCTTGGTAATGGCTAAGGAGCCTTTTTTTGCAGCCCTCGGACAAGGTTTGGGGGAATAGCACGGGGAGGGGGGGGAAGGAGCGCTGGACAGGAGATTTCCCCCCCTGTGCGGGTCACCCCTGCCTCATCCCCCTGGAGCTCTTCACTGCAGCAGCTCGGCGGCACTTTCCCCTCGCATCAAACCCACGGCCGACCTCACCCCCTCCTTCGCCTCCTCCTTTCGGAAAGGGGCCATAATTAGCGCTGTGTTAATCAGCCCACCCTCCCACTTACCCCATCAGCCATTCTTTCACCGGCCAAGGACGGATGCTCAGCTACGCGGTCCCCCCCCCCTTCCCAAACCCGTACCCGTCCCAAAGCGGGGACAGCTCAACAGTTCCCCCCCTCAGGTGGCTTTTCCAGCCCGGCAGGGACAAAGGGACCGAGCCAGGCCGGGGGGGACATCCCCACGTCCTGCTTCTGGGGGTGCTGGGGGGGTCCTCGCTACCCGGTGCCCCCCGGGAGCTGCCGCTTGGAGAGGGGAGAGGAGCGCAAAGGCTGCTGAGAGCGGTGGGGAAAGGGGTCTGGGGGGATCCGGGGGGTCCCCGGCTGCGGGCACGGCTCTGCCCGAGAGCCGCAAGCCCCGAGGAAGGGGAAGGCGGGGGCAGGGGAAGCGCAGCCCCCGCCCCCAGCCCGGCGGATGTCAGTCCTGCCTTGCAGCCGGCTCCTTCCCAAAATACGCCGCCAAAACGCTTCGGGGGGCGGCGGGGATGGGGGCTGGTCCCTGCACCTCTCACCCCGCCAACACCCGCCCCCAAAGCCCCAGCACGGTTACCCCGAGATGGGGGTTGTCAGCTCCGTCCTTACGGGGACACTGCGAGATCAGCGGCCCCGGGGAGGTGGCACGGGAGGCGGGCAGCATCCCAGCCCCGGAGCCTGCCGCTGCTGGCCGCACGGGGATGCGCTGCCCGTCCTGCGGTGGGACGCACAGCAACTGTCCCCTGGTAGTGCCTAAAGTTCCTCCGGTCCCCCCTGCACCCGGCAGCAGCTCGGTGCTGCTCCTGGCGATCCAGAACTGCTGTCACCACGGAGTAAAAGACACCACGGGGGTCGCAATTGTCACCGCTTAGCCACCTTGCGGCCCATCCAGTCGTGGAGCCCACCCCTCTCAGCCTTGCTGGACACCGTTTAGGACGCAGTCTTCATTCACACCTGGATCAGCCACTTGCTTGTGTGGCATCATCCCTGACTTTGTGGTAAAACAGGACCTGTTGACACATCTCCTATCCCAAACCCTGCCACCAAAGCCATCGCTTTGTGCCCACCACACCCCGCTGTCACCACAGGAGCCCAGCCGTGTGGGACAAAGCACAGTGCGATGGGCTCCGTGCCCAGGTGTGCTCACCAGTACTTTCTTTAGGGCAGTACTATCACCACCCCAACAGCCGGTCTCTCCTGCCCTGCAGGCAGAAGACAACTAAAATCACGCTCTGTGAATATCACCCACACTTGTCATGCTCAGGGACAGTCCTGGACATTCAGCTCACACCTTGTCAGCAAGAAACCCCAGGCCCTCATTTCTCAGACAGATACCCAGAGGAAGGGGTGGTGCTTGTCAAGAAAATCCTGACCCCCCCCGTTCACCTCTGTTAAATAACAGGCGACACAGCTGAAGTCCCACTGATGATGCGGGACTCTGTTAAATCCCGCTCACCCCGGAGCCATGGGCCCTTAGCAGAGGCCTTGGTGCCAGGGCAAGAAGCGGCGGTGTTCCCTCATCCTTTTCCTGCTCTGGAAGACAAAGGTAACGTGAGCAACACCCCCATCTCCTGCACGATCCGCGAACTGCGTGCCCATCGCCGGCGCACAGACCAGGGGCTTTGCCAGCGTGCAGCATCCCTGTTGCAGGATCCTCGGGTCTGCTCCAAAACCTGGCCTCTTGCGAGACAGGGTGACGGGGAGGAACCACCCGACAAGCCCAGATTTGCACAGTCTGCCTCCAAGGATAGAAACGGAAGCCTACAGCACAGTATCCATTACAGGCTGTTTTAATCCCTGGTCTAATCTGTTACAATCTGCTTTAATCCCTGCCCAGCTGCAAACATCCACTCGAAGAAGCAGGGGTTGGCGTTATGTTCGGTCGGACCACGCTGGTTGGTAATTGATGTAAGGCATCCATACGCCACAGCACCAGGCAGTGCACAAGATTTCCAAGTGAGCAAGAAAGTAAATGCTCCAGAAGGCAAACTGGGGCACAAATGTAAAGGAGCAGAACATGCCTACAACCGAGGGGGAGCTGGGTTCAGTTAAGGAGAGAAAGGCAATTGGGGCGGTTGTGTTTGCATGCAGGGGATGATTTGGGTGGAGCAAGTTTAATGCCACTAACTAAAGTAAAAAGGAAATAGAGCCTGGTGTTTATCCCATGCTATACCCTTCTAAAGCACCATTGATCATTTGGGGGTTTCATTGTATTTTTTTCCCCTATTTTGGGTCATTTTTATTTGGAAAAAAAAATGCAACCAAAGAGTTAACTCCAACCACACCTGTCAATACCCTCCCCATCACTACCCCCATCCCTTCTGCCTTGCCCAGCTCTGCCCATCACTGCCCCAAGCTCCCCCAGGCCTCCTCGGGGGCCCAGAGTTTGTCTCCCAGCCACTGTCACCCCAGGCAAGTCCCGAGTGGGAGCTGGAGCTTTTCTTACTGGAACCCAAAAGAAAGGGGTTGGGGAAGAGATCACAAAAGGGAAATTGAGGGATGGGAATGAAAAGCAATGCCCCAGCCTCGCTGCACTCTTTCCACCTCCCTGCAGGTCTCCCACACAACTCAAGTGCTCCCAAGGGGAGAAATCCCACACGTACTAAGAGAAAAATCAATGCTTGCTTCACTTAACTTTAATCCATTTATTATGGGTGAGACCAGCCACTGGAAAACAAAGCAGCTCTGTGCTAATGCTGTCTTGTCTGCTACGGAAACGCCTGAATCTATGTAAACTAAAACAATTAAGAAGTGTCCCTATATCCTCAGACTGGAGACTGCCTGCACACAGGCCTGTTTCTACAAGTATAGGACTACCCCTTCTATGGGACAGATTTCCTCCTAGCCCAGCCAGGCAGGGTGTGCCCCAGAGCAGCCAGCCCCTGAAGCAAGGCAGGACCATGGCAGGGAGCCTTCAGCACAGCCAGGTTGCTCAAAAGGTGCTCGAGCTGCAGAGCACAGATGAAGGACTCAGCCACCCACAGAGAAGGCAGAGGTGCTGTGAATGCTCTGGGGAGATTCTGCAGGTTTCAGGTCACGTTCCCAGTCAGTGTTGGGTGCCGGTGTTGCTCCTAAAGCCAAGACTAGAAAATCCCCTTCTGCTGATAATTTTCAGCATCATCAGGAATGTCAGAGAGCTGATCAGAGTGGAAACAGTGCGTGGATTTGAGGCATATACAGAGATTAGTTGCAGAGCTCACAAGTTCACAGTGCTGAATTCACTGCATACTGCAGGTCACGTACATTTCTGTCTTTTCCACTAGTAATACAAGAACCTGTCTCCCAGATTTCAAATTATCCAAAACTGTAGTAAAATCCTACATTTTCAGAAGCACTTGCCAAATTTTTGATAGCCTGTTCCTCAGCGTCTCTTAGAAGGCACTGGGTCAGGGCATTTAAACTTGCAGCCTCTCTTTGTCTTCTGAATTCAAAGAGCTCCTCTGCAAGCTGGATCTAACTGTGCCACATATAATGAAGAGAGGCATAATCACGGCTTAAGATGTTATAATATCCAAGAACACGCTGTGAGTACTAAGATATCCCCTCTGGAGAAAATCTGATTAAAAACAGGGAATCCAACTAATATTGACCTGGTCATTGATTCAGAAAGCGTAAGTGACTAATTTCCCTTCCCCTCCCAAGGTCTGCCTCCAATTTACAGTTCCATGGAGGAGAGCAATCCTCCTTTCTAGCAGCAGCTTTGTGCCCCTCTCATCAGCTCCTCATTTCTTGTTGTTAATGAAGCCTCCTGCCTGTGATTGTTTAGGGGTGGTTTTTAACTCCAAGAAGCGGAGCACAAGCACTGCCTTGCTGTGCACAGAGAATCTTAGCGAACCTGAAACCTATTCTCTGCTTGTCCCACTCCTTCCCTAGGGCACAGCAGGA